GTGGGGGACAGAATGAGCTCATTTAATTGAACACTCGTAGGTAGAATGTATGTTAGAAAATGTATTATTCTGTATGAGGAAGTTTTACTTTAAGGTGAGGAGAGTTTATTTAAATATTCACATATCAGCAGTTCATAAACCCCCATATAAAATATTTGCATGTATGTTTATGCATGTAATATTAATCATATTTTATTGGTAGAGGATTTAAAATTGAGATCGTGGTAGGCCTCTACTGAAGCCGTGTCAGGATTTCCGAATTTGGGGGGTTATAAGATCGAAGGGTAAATAACACACAGGAAATCCTCCACACACACACACACACACATATATATATATATATATATATATATATATATATATATATATATATATATATATATATATATATAGTGTTGCAAAAGTAACGCCGTTTTATTGTATTTTCTTTTATTTAACGATATAAAACAATAATAAGAGCATTATAAAAAAGGAAAATAATAAAAAATACATATAAAAGAAGCATTAGCTAATATTTCTTTATTGAACAAAATAAAAAAAAATCCCACAATGAAGATGAGGAAAACTAATAAAAAAAAGAAACAAATCCCACTAAGAAGCGACTAAAAAGTGGTCGTTACTTTTGCTGCACCCTTTATATATATATATATATATATATATATATATATAATATATATATATATATATATATATATATATATATACTGCGAATGTACTTTATGTAAAAAATAAAAATATTTATTACATGTACTTCTGGTAATAGTTTTCATACAACTTGAATATACAAAACTACTGATGATAATGATAATAATAATAGTAATGATAATGATAACAGTAATACTAATACTACTAGACATTGTTTAAGATGAGAAAACATTAACAAAACATTGTTTATAGTTTGCGTCAAGAAATTCTTTGGTGAATGTTTAGGTGTGAATGTTTACATGTTATATTTCCTAATGCACACCAGCTCCCTTAAAAGATATATTTTTTTTAAATTTAATTTCTCTCTAATCATAATTTGCAAGTTTTCATTTACAGTATATTCGTACTTTAAGTTGCTACCGAAATGGTGTTACTCTGACCGTAATATCGGCATTAAATGACTTGATTCACAGTGAAATATCTTGACACAAAAGAGCAAATCATAAACAACGCGTAAGGTACAGGGAAGGAAATAGTTGTGATGAAGCAATGGTATAGAAATATGAGGGTTGAGGCGCGCAAAGGTTCATGGTGGAAGTGTTGGTGATAGTGAGTTGGATGGTGAGCGTTAGTTCTATTGAGGAAAGGTCGATAAGCCTGGTGGCAGTGGGCTCTGAGCCAACAAGAGCCGTAACGCAGCTCTCTGTGGCTCCGGCTCGTACGAGGCTCCAATGGCTTCCTTTCTGGCTCGCTCTTTCCCTATCCAACGCGCACCTGCCTTATATCACCCACGGCTCCCCACTTACTCCCTCCCCGGGGGGTAAACTCCTCGCTCTTTCTCTCCCTCCTACTCTCTTTACTGCTCGCGACTCTCAACTTGCTTCTTCTTCTTCTTCACTCTGGCTCTTTTCTGCTCTGTTCCCCGCCACCGCTGTCTGGCTCAGAGTTTGGGCGTGCGTGTGTACGTCTCTTTTGAAAAGTTGGTTGGTGGTAGTGGGAGGGGATGGGGGATTGAGTTCGAGAGAGGGAGAGAGAGAGACTACACTCAGCATATTCTTCCCGGCTAGTCAGTGTGTATATGTTGTCATCCTCATACTCTCTTGTTTATATCACTCATCCGTGGCTCTTACAGTATCCGGTGGCGTACAGAGCGAGGCACTACATGTGAGGCGAGTGACCTCATCAGCACTCATATTTAAGTACTGTACAAAGAAAGTATTTGTTTGGATTACTCCCTGAAGTCAATGTTTACCTACGTGCAAGATGGAGTTGGCCCGGTGGTGCTGTGATGCTCGTGGATTGTACGTATCAACAGCGCACCAGCACTAACAGCACACGGGTGAGTGGGGGTGAGGTGGAATAGGATGGGAAGAGTGGAGTGGGTGTGTTTCTATATTGTTTATTGAAAAAAGTGCTGTGGATCTGAATACACTTATCGCCATTTCTTCTATATCCGTTTTAATAGTAAAATTGTAAGAGGCGAGATTGGTTCTAGATTTAACATATGATGTCATCAGTGGTTTTGAGTCACGAGTTCTGTTCTATAGAGGATAAAAAAGTGTCTGTGTCTTCAACATAATTTATAACTGTTACTGTATTCCCTAGTAATCATTAATGTTGGTAAGTGAAATTTACGTTATTGTTATATAGGTAAAACATATATTTTGGCTATTACATAAATGTTGGGTGACAGTGGGATCAAGTAATATGACAACGCTCAGTACATTACATAACCTCTTAAATTATTAGGTTAGGTCAGGTAATGCCTAATTTAACCCGTTTAACCCAACCTATCCAATAATTTACGGCATTAATTTATTGGAAGTTGTTTTTTTACTTGGTCTGACAGTGTTATGTATGCTGAATTCAAGGCAAAACAGTTGTTATTGACTGTGACTGTATTGAGAGTAGATTGTTGATATGGTTTAATGAACATAAAATCATGTACTTAAATATGTGATATTTGGCATTCATTAATCAATAATGTCACGTGGTAGTATAGAATATTCGATTAGTTCTTTGACATTTTATACCATTATCTTTTATTATTTAGCTAAAAATGACCACATTAAAGTTTGTAGGCAACATAAAAGAATTTAATGAATTAAGTAACGCTTTTAATCGTCTTAAATCCTTAATTAATTCAGGAGAGAAAGCGAAAGGATTTGTAAAATGCACTTGAAAAATCTTGAATCTGTTTTTACGAGAGAAAATGAATTTGACAGCATGTACTTGAAAAATCTGGATTCTCTGTTTACGAGAGAAGAACACATGCTTACGCTTTTAAAATTCGTAAGATTTAACATTTAGAAGTAAAGGGAAGATATGAATTCGTATGTGAATGCCTTTGGTTTCCCGCATTTACTACTGAATGAGTTGACACCAAACAAACTCCCAGCTTTGGATGCGCATGCGTGAACGCGGAGTGTCTTTGTGTATTGTGTGTGTGTACGTATACGTTACTGTGTTTTGTTTGTCTTGAGATAAATATATTATGGTTTCAAAGTAACGATTTTTTTTCTACTTAATATTTATAAAATGCGAGTAATTATGCTGGTGATATATCTTTTATGTTTATGTAGTACTGACAAATTTGTATAAATTGCTGTTTTGAAAGGTATTGTTGAATGGCTTGCAATAAACAAGTGGTTATCGGGGGAAAAAGTTTGATATTTTTGTTTAAAGAATTAGTCGTTATTTTTTTTTGTTTTAAACTTTCGGAGTTTTTGTTATTAATATATTGTCCGAGGTAATGGTCTAGCTGGAAGAGAGTAAATAAGATACTCATGCGCATGCGTATATTATTGTTATTATTAGACTGTTAACAAATGTCGAGTTTATTGTCAATGGAAAATCCAGCAGAGTTTATTGTCAATGGAAAATCCAGCCTTATGCAACATGGCCTTGTCTAGGGTGTGAAGTGAATGTTTAGTTGATGCCCGGGTCCGATGAGGACAATTTTCTTTGCCCGTCCTGGTGTCACTCTTAATAAATTGACTAACATATCGGGACAGTATATGATTTTACTGTTTTCGTAGAATAAATGCTGGTACATGTGGATAGGAGGGGGGTTACATACTTTCTCCGTTTTCCCCATGCGTGTCGTAAGAGTCGAATAAATGGGGCGGGGCGAGAGGACTGGGAATCCCCTCCTTTGTAATTTCTATTCCCAAAAAGTTGAGTATTTTGCCTTGACTCAGCCACTCCCCTCATAAGGGGGAAAATGGCTCATGTATATAGACGTGTATATGAATAGTGCCAATTAGATTCCTATATACTGAGAGTACTTTGGTCCCGTTCGTCTCTGCTCTTCCTGCACAAATAATGTATTTTTTTTTTATTTATTTAGATAACTGTACTTGAGGACGTGAACATGGGCACTCCCAGTGATATCGCAGTTGTTAAACATTGCAATCTATATTTGGTCATGTATAAGTAAAATAGTAATAGAATTTGCAAGTCATTTTAAATATCATAGCAAGTAATTAAGAATAAAATATAGAGTAACGATTGATGGCAGAAGAGCACTCTGCGATTATTAAGTAAGAGTAATATATTATGGTTTACATGTATTAATGGCACTGCGATTATTGATTAAGAGTAATATTTGCAACAATAATTTTCAATAGCCCTTGTTGAGTGCTATCATGCAAGTTAAATCTCCACTTTACCACAGAACCACTGCAGACAATTTGAAGCAGATATAGAATAATAATTTTCAGGTTAGAGTAATAAGTAGGTATATATATATATATATATATATATATATATATATATATATATATATATATATATATATATATATATATATATATATATATATATATATATATATACACACACACACGCACATATATATATATATATATATATATATTATATATATATATATATATATATATAATATATATATATATATATATATATAATTCATGCTTTTGATTAGTTAATTCTAAACTGTTTGAGAGCTCATTTAACTAGTTACACTGCTCAGCTAAGCAGATTTCTTCAGGACTAAAAAATGTATCGCCCACACCAGAGGATTAAATATATATATATATATATATATATATATATATATATATATATATATATATATATATATATATATATATATATATATTTTGGTTAGTTTTTTTCCTCCTCTTACTTGGGTCATTTTCAAATTTGCAATCATTAAAATTGGCATGGCACAGATCCAGTCTCTGAATTAAAATAATCTTTGTGCAGTTAAGGGATCTCTAGTTGCATTTCAACTATATATATATATATATATATATATATATATATATATATATATATATATATATATATATATATATATATATATATATATATATATATATATATATAGACCTTCTGTAGTGTAGTTGGTAGCGCCTAGGCTTTGTAATTATAAGGCCCAGGTTCTAGTCCTGGTCGGAGTAATAATATATATATATATATATATATATATATATATATATATATATATATATATATATATATATATATATATATATATATATATATATATACTTTGTAATGCAACAGTTCTAAAGTTAGGTACACATTAATACATATAACACATGAAAATACTATATAAGCCTTCTCTGCTTTTTCCATTAATTTGTTCATGATCATCTGTATTATTTCCTTTTTTTGGTCATAGTCTTTGACCTATGCTCTCCATTGTAATTAATAAAAAGCTTTAATTATGCTTGACACGAACATGCGAAATCTACTTTAGGTCAAATAATGTTTCTCCCTGAACTTCATGGCAGACATATAATTTTAAATAATATGGGAAATTCCATCTTTTTCTCGGTTCAGTACAGGTGTTTGATATAGTCATTGGTAAACTAAAAAGGTCGATTCGCGTATCAGTGGCGTATCAGTTTTGTGACGTCTGTTCACATATCCGTAGTTACTCCATAAAGTGTGAAATCAGTGATTTCCAAGATTGCAATGATTGCCATAATTCTTGATGAAAAGGAAGAGGCTGAGGATAAGCTGAAGTAAAGAAAATGGGTACATGAAGCGTGGAAGAAAAGAGAAAATGAAGGAGAGTTTGCTACTTTGTACAGAGAGTAAATATATGATGTAAGAAGATTTTTCCAATACTTAAGAATGTCCAAAAATTGTTTCAACATATTGCGAGGGTAGTGGAGTCGAAGCTGATGATACGGAGGCTGAAGGCTCAGTTTTTACTTCACATGAATGTTGATTCTTAAGCATTTGCAGTTCATATTTCTGTACTGTGGCAAATATTTCAGATTTTGCTACATTCAAGTAATAAGGGGTTAAAGTCTTCAGAGTTGGAGCTATTCCTGCTAGAAATGCATCAACAGGGTGAGGTGATGTGGAAGTGGTTTGATTTTCTTGTTTACCGATCAAGTACTCCATTAATTTTGCAGAAGCTGTTTGCTGGGGTGCCACTTTCCTTTTGGCTGATTTTACTGCTAATGACTTTCTTGGAGTTTCAAAAGTAGTCTTTGGTGAGGGCGAAGGCCGTGTTTGCAAATCTTCATGTAGATCTACGTCTGGTACTGCGGGTTCCCCTGCATCATTCGCAATGTCCTCTTCTTCGTCTTCAGGTTGTTGTGCATTATCATCTTGATTGTTTTCTTCATCCTGTTGACTGGCAATGTTTCCTTTAGTTTCCCTCTCGTAAATATATTTCTTTAAGAAGCTTAATTCCTCCGAATACTTATAAATTTTCAGTTTCTTTGCATTCTGCCCACTCTTAGTTGAAGTTTTCTTCAGAGATTTTCTGTAATTGTCCCTTATGTTGTTCCATCTGCCTTTACATGACGTACCTGGGGAAGAAGAGAAAAAGTTTTGTTTTAAAATAAGTTATATATGATGGGAGTATTGTGACTTGTCAGATGTTAAGGGATAATAAGACATGTGTAACGACGATCCAATAATATTCAGTGTTAATAGGAGAATTCAGGTAAAACCAGAAAATGTAGATCACAGACTACTTGCAACCTGCATTCTGCATAATTTCATAAGAGAATATGATGTAAGCACATATCCACATGAAATTTATGCAACAGTAAATGAAACTATAGAAGCAAGACTTGAAAATCTGCCTAGGCAGGGTTGAAATGCAACTAGAGATGCCTTAACTTTACAAAGATTATTTTGATTCAGAGACTGGATCTGTGCCATGCCAATTTTAATGATTGCAAATTTGAAAATGACCCAAGTAAGAGGAGGGAAAAAAACCTAACCAAAAATTTTAAGCTCTGACATATTTGATACTGTTACTAAGATATGAAGAATATATCGACTACAGATATAAAAAAAAAATAAAAGTACTTACCATCTACTCTCATTTCTTGTCCTATCTTATTCCAAATACGTTGTTTGAGACTGCTGTCCATATACTTTGGCTGTGACAAATCGTACAGAGCAGGATGATTCCGAACCAATTCAATGAGTAGTTCATCATTCATTATTGTTGACAAACTCACAACACTTGTCCGACGTCCAGGAAAAACTAAACAAAATACCGGTGGCGACGATATTCAACTTCACGGCACGGAGACGTAACTGACACTGAGAGTCAAAACACGGTGCTGCACCGGACAAGTGTGAATGCCTCGGCCGAATTCAAAGTAACGATATTTTTTTTCCCACTGATACTGACGGACTGAGCGGACGCGGCACTGATATGTGTGAATGAACTTTTATTTGCCTCCTCTCCCTCACCGTTTGCTAAAGGATTAACACATCCCCATTTCATTCTGTATCTGGGTAATGTTCCGGTTTTACGTCACGGACTCCCTTTTCAACCAAGGGCTAGGACGGTTGCCTTCTTACGAAGGACTTGTTTTGGCAGATGTAATCGTTACCCTGAGTGCATGCCCTTGCTAACCTCAGACCGTGACGGGGCGCGAACCCTCGACCTGACGCCTCAGAGTCGCGGACGCTACCGACTGAGCCACGGTGACTACATTCTGTATCTGGGTAATAATACTTGGTTATGCAGTGAATAATTAAATGAATTGATTGCAGACGCTGGGTAAAAGTGAATCTGTTTTTATAGGACCGAGTATCAATGTCGACCCAGTTTTATGCAGTTGAACGCACTTTTTCAAGGTCAGAGGACGAGTGAATATCGAGTCCCGTTTTGAAGGGTGATTCCGGTCTTGGTTGATATTGTGATGTACAAAGGAGATACTTGTTTTTAAACCTGTGACATAGAGTAATATATTTTGATCTTGTCTGGCTTTAGTAGTGTGTCAAGAATAAAACTTTATATTTGTACTAAGCTTTTCACTGGCGATGATTTTTTTTGGTTTTAAGCTCCTAGATTCCGCAAATTGATATCATTTACAGTAGTCAGATGGAAACAAGCTTGGCAATCTTGAATACTTTCTTTTATGATTATAAATTATATTCAGTATCTGATTATTCAGAGGTATAAATGCTGATGCTACCACAACTTATAATAATAATAATAATAATAATAATAATAATAATAATAATAATAATAATAATATCTTTAATATAAATTACACTAAAGGTTATCGAATCTGATTGATGTGACGAGGGAAATAAAAACACAAACACGTTAAGTAGTTATAACCTCACCTGCTTGTCAGTTAATGAGAGAGAGAGAGAGAGAGAGAGAGAGAGAGAGAGAGAGAGAGAGAGAGAGAGAGAGTGTGCATACTGTTTAACAAGTGGTGTGGCCTATTATACTGATATTTGTATATAACAGCTGTTTACATCATCCTTTACTATTGAATTTGACCTATTTTTGCCGCCTTGAATAATATTACGTTTTGCATATGTGGTTTATGTCAAATATGTCAGTGTTAGTTTGTATTTTTTTTATTGGCGTACTTGAATATTGTTTTATCACTTTAAAAATGTTTTGAGTGTCAATGAATAAGCTGATACTAAAATGCAGTTGAAACTTTAGTGACCCATTTCTTGGTACTCTATGCACGTTTTTCATTTTTTTTTTACCCTACCATTCTCCAAAACTGGGAAGGGTGGTGGAGGATTTACGTAAGATGAAGTGATTGGGGGGTAAACTAGTTATGTCTGTTGAGCCTCACGGCAAAAGACCCTTGCCCACTTACTCTGTGGATAACCTAAGCAGTGCAGTGAAGGAAATTGTGACAACCATTTATCCTAAATCAGTGAAGAGGGGTGATTGTTTCGAACTGACTTCTGGTGAATGTGTGCTTTGACTCAGCCATACCTCTAAGGGTGATTACAGCTCTTGTATATGCATTCATGCATAGACGAATCTGTATTTTCCTTATGAGTGCATGTGTGAGTTGGGTCATATATCATGTAGTTATGGCACTTGTCTAAATAAATTTATGAAATCTGTGTTGCCTTTTGTTCAGTATAGTTTATATGCACAGTACTGAATTAGTGTTTAAGGTAAAGTACGCCAACCCCTCTTGATTTTTTTTCAAGCACCTATGATGGTTTTTTAAATCTTCTGTTGAGCAAAATGCCGAGAGGGGACAAAGGTGTGAGTAATGATGTTCCTCGTATCCCTCTTCCAAATTCGAGATGAATGAGCACATACCTGTGGTTATGAGTACACACATCTACAGGTGTATTTGTATTTGCCTTCTTACTTGACATGAACTACTACACAACAGATGTTATTACCTCTTTCTCTGTCTATAGAAAAGAGCCATATTCCTTCTATAAAGGGGGTGCTGAATCAAAACAATATACTGTACCTTGACATTTTGCTGGATGAAAACAAAGAGGAGGGTATTCCCAGTCCCCTCACTCCTCCCCATTTAGGCGACTTTACGACACGTACGAGAACACGGGGAGGGGGGGGTATTCTTGCCCCTCTCTCTCAGAGACAGAGGTGATTTACCACTGAGACTGATTTGAAATCTTGCAATGAGAACTGACTGACCCTGCAAGATTTCAGAACCTTGGGAAATTCCTATTAGGCTATGTTGGTAATACCAAAGTACCGCATTATATCTTTGAGACTAACAATTCGAAAATCTGGTCTCAAATAGAATCAACAAATGTTTACTATGTCAAATATGTAATTTATTAATTACCTTGAAATTTAAGGGGGAAAATTATTAAATACACGGCTGTCAATCTAATCAAATGAGAGAGAGAGAGAGAGAGAGAGAGAGAGGAGAGGAGAGGAGAGAGAGAGAGAGAGAGAGAGAGAGCGAGCAAACAAACTTTCATATATTTCCATTTATGTACAATGGTTATTCTTCTACGATTAAGAGTAACTTATATGTAGACATGTAATTGAACCAGTAAATAAGAGGGTAATACATACAGTTAAATTTTATGTAGCTTTCCTAGAAAATAATAATACTGCAATAAAAATATTAATAATAATGTAGTAATAATAACACTCGATACAGGATCGTTATTAACGGCATCATCACCATATTTGTTTTCCTTACAATGAGAATAATTAGTT